CCTATGTATGAACAAAATTTTGATTGAAACAAAAATTCTATAAAAGTAAGGTGGTTCATGTAGGATATTGAAATATATTTTAATAAATTCCATAAAAAAATTGCTTTAAAATTTAAATTTAAACAGTTTTTCTTCTTTCCTTATGATCTATTTGTCTTTTTGATTAATTATATATATGCTCTAAATATAGAATCTAACATTATATATATTTTTAAGGTTAATTATTTTTCTTAGGAGACCAAATCCTTCTCCCTCCTTATATTTTTGAACATACAAAAATATAAAAAATTATTATTGGATATATATTATATATATATAAAATGTTTATTAGCTGAACTTGTAAGAAATTCGATGGAAAAATATCTCAAAATTATGTTGTCTTAATAAATTTGCATTGAAAAAAGAAAAACTAAAATATTATCATTTTGAATATCTTTTCACCTAATTATTTTATATGTCTGACTGATAAACATTAATATCATCTATATATATAGATTTTCATGTTAACCTATAGGATAAAAGTGTAAGAATGCATTTAAAAAGACTTAAACACCATTAATGAATCAATACGTATGGGTAATTCAGCGAAATCTGGATATTAGGTCCTCTCAAGTAATCAAAGCGAAAGCAGGAACAACATACACGAAAGAGTGTGGTGTAAACAGGTCCCTTCAAAAATCTGCGCTTTTGTGTGGAAAGTCTTACAAAATAGAATCCCCTCAAAGTTGAATTTGCTCAAGAGAGGTATTATCTCTGATCCTAGTCTCGCTACAAGTAGTTTATGCAATGAGGGCATGGAAGACATAAATCATTTGTTCCTGCATTGTAAAACTGCATATTTAGTGTGGTCTAAATGTTTTCAATGGTGGAGGATTATATGTGTAGAAGCGGGTAATTGTTTGGCATCATTTGAACAACACTGGGCTCCCTTTAATGATGCAAAAATCAAGATAGGATGGGATGTAGTATGGTTTGCAATTATCTGGTCCTTATGGATTGCGAGGAATGATAAATCTTTCAAGAATATCGACCATGATGCAAATAGAATTTTTGAACTTGTGCAATTGAGGACATTCCAATGGATTAAAAGCAGATCATATGGGTACTCTTTTAATATTTGCCATTGGATCCTGGACCCTGTGGAATACTTGAAGGATAAAAGAAGGAAACAAATGTTATTGAGCTGAAATGGGTGTTGGATAGACGTGAGTGACCTCTTTGAATATATTCTTTGTTTTTGTCTTGATCCAGTTTCTTGTCCCATTGTCCCATCGGTGATGGACTAGTTTTTGTTTTGTAACGAGTTGGAGTACCTCTTGTACTCCCTTATATATATATATATATATATTCCTTTGCTGTGCAAAAAAAAAAATTAAAATTTATAAATTTATTAAAATAAAAAAATAAAAAATAAGTTTTTCCTAAAAAAATAATAGCCGTCATTATTCCAACGATAAAAATGCTTTCGGTGCCAGTGTAAGACAGCCCAACAACCCCGGAAGTGTTGTACTTCTGTCCAACCCATAGCCTCAAGTATAATCCTGTCAATAGGAGCTTATCCTGACTTTGAGGTGTATTCTTTTTTATAAATAGGCAACGGATTTTGAGGTGTATTCTTTTAAAGACTTCTCGAGAAAGGAAACTACGCTAGTCCATCACTCCTTTTAGGAGACCATAGGTTTCAGTCGGCATGTTTTTAGTATTTATTAATCTACCTTTTCTAAAATAACTATAATTTTTAGACATTTTTTTT